AAAACCATGGGCTATAGTACAGGGTATTTTTTAAATTGAAATAGCGTCTAGTTGCTCAATTTTTAGTTGCAGGAAAAATTACAAATATTAGCAGCTGTGAATTTATCTTGACCTATGGTACTATAATTATGTTTTTGTAGGTATTATGGGGTGATATTAAATCTGCTGTATCAATTCACAACCTTTTATATGACATTGTCCTCCATTATAAATTCCTTCCAGAAGTAAGCTAATAATAAGTTAATATACATTTAATTGCAATTCTCTTTTTATTCCTCCTTCACTGCTTCAAACCCCTATCTATTTTCCTCCATCTCTCTCTCTCTCTCTCTCCCTCTCTCTCTCTTTTCTTTCAAGGCATTCTCTCCAACTGACATTAACTACAAGGTAGTTTGGCCCCAGCATCCTCTGAGGCCGGAGTTCATCGAGAGCACATACTTTTTATACAAAGTATGAAAACAAAGACTTCACATGATCGTGACCTTTGTTTTTCTCATTTCCTGTACCACCTCATTATTGCACACACAGTCACATACACACACATACATGTACATGTAAATATTTGAAACAATACTACTATAGATATCTAATATACATGAACCTTTGTCACAGTTACAATAGATGCCATACAAGATGATTTGTTGGCTAGGAATTGATATTGGCGATTGGCGGTTCTATGAAGAAAATACCAATATAAAATCTACCATTTTGTTTCAATCTGAGTTTGCTCTGTGGCACAAAATTGCCAATATAAAATTTGCCAATTTCTTTCTGCAGGCAAATTCACCAAATATTACTTGTGCCAATAAATCATCTTGTATGATACTAGCATTATAATTTCATTATAGTAGTAGGAGCTCCTGTTAAAATAGACTATAATGTTTTTAAATCACATAAACTTGCAATTAAGTCAGTTTTGTCTCTCTCTTTTTTTCCTTAGGCTACTAATGATCCTTTTTATTTAGAAGTTGGTAAGATTGTTGTTGATAATTTAAATAAATACGCACGCGTGGCCTGCGGCTTTGCATCAATCAAAGATGTGAAGCGCAATTCCAAAGAAGACAGGTAAGAGCTATATGTACATGTATTATAATCACATTAATATCCTTTTATTTTTTACTGTGTTTCAGAATATTTTCTATCTTTTTCCTCTCTATTTAACTATTCCTGCATGTCTTTCTTTCTATTAATCTTTCGTTCCATCTTGTTCTAGGCTGGATTCGTTCTTTCTCGCCGAAACCCTCAAATATTTATACTTGTTATTTTCCGAAGATTCCGATATCCCGTTCAACATTGACGATTTTATATTCACAACAGAAGCGCATCTCATACCTCTAAACTTCTCTTCCTCCTCTCTGACGAAACCTCTCTCCTCCCCTCCTCTTTCTTTCCCTTTAAAGACTGAGGATAGTGCTCCCCTTTTCTGTCCTAATGTCCGGATCCCGTGGGCGGAGTCTAATTATTATTATCGCCTCATTATGAAGCAGTGTCCAGGATCACGTCATCTCTATCCACTTAGCATGGTACTTTTCCCAAGGTAACTCATTATTAATGGTACTATTGTACATGTACATGTACTTGTACATGTAGCAACTAACATTTAATGTACAGTACATATGTATCATACGCTTGCATTTTGGTACTTACATTACATGCATGTACTGTACATGTACGTACAGTTACTATTACATGTACATGTACATATAATTGTAGCTGCATGTACATGCATGTATAGTTACTATTACATGTAAATGTACATGCATGCATGTATATGTACATGCATAACTTGAAGGCAGAATTTTTTTAAATTTTTTTACCCATAGACCTACATTGTATATACTATATAGTACAGAGAAATTTAATTTTTAATTTATACATGTTACCGAACTGAGAGTATATACATGATTGACATGTACACATTATGTAGGTTTGTGTATATACATGTACAATGTATGTATGTGCTGTATCTGCCTTTGTTTGTTTGTTCTGGTTTTAATTGGTATATTTATTTACATTCCGGTACTGTGCATCATGTAGATTATGCAATAGTCTCTATTGTCATTGTTATTCAATCTGTCATCAATCACCTTCCACTTAACCATCTCACTGATATGCTGATATGAGGTTACACGATTAATAGCCAGCAATACAGTCGTCTTGTCTAGTCTGTTGTCTATTCTAATTAATGTCACACCTACTCATTTCCAGACGTTGTATGATAACACTAGAGCCTCCGACTTGAAATTGTATCAGTTCAGGTCGTCTGGTTGATCCTGACTAACATTTATTGCTGTGTGGTATACATGTATGTACATACACATTGTATTAGCTAAATTTTGCCAAAAATGATTATAAAAGAGAATTCTTCATTTTTATAATTTATCTGATACATATACATGTTCTCATGTTGTGTAGCAAGTTTGAGCTGATTCCAATCAAATTTAGATTTTTTA